GAGGAGCAGAAGCCTCTCCTTCCATTACCACACAGGACCTCTGCCTTAGACCATGCTGGCTACTTGTCTACCTGCATATTTATTTGGGCCCTGAGTTCTCTGTGCATAGTAATAATTAAATGGGGTTTTACAACAGCTGCCTGTGAGTTGAGGACCCAGAAGAGGTAAATGTGGATGAGAAATGGCCCCACGGTGCAGAGGAAGTAGGAAATAGAGGACTACAGCTCACTGCCCAGGAGAGGACACAGGGTGACGGGAGACGGCGCCAAGCAGGCAGTGCCAAGCAAAGCACACAGCCTACAGATCCAGCCCTGATGGGTCCAACTCTGAGCTGCCTGACCTTGGAGAAGTTGCTTGACATCCCAAGCTTTGGCTTCCTCATCTGTGAAATGGAGCTAACAAGGGGCAGCTGCTGTGAGTGCCCGTGATAGTCCATATGCAGAGCTGGGCACACAACAGGGGTTCGACAGCCCCTGTGCATCTTTGGGTTTTGGTTTTTTTTTTTTTGGCTTAAAACCACCACTGTTTTTTATTTCTCACATCTCTGGGTAAGCTTGGGATTCTGCTGACCTGGGCTGGGCGGGTTGATCCAGGCTGGGCTCACTCATGCTGTCTATGGGCAGCTTACAGGTCTGCCTGGGGCTAACTGGTTCAGGATGGTCTCAGCTGGGAAGTCTAGGCCCTGCTACACACGATCCTTCATCCTGCAGTAGCGGCTACTATACTTGTTCTTAGGCAGTGGTAGAGGTCTAAGAGGGAGACAGAGAGAAAAAAGAGAGAAGAAGGGGGAGAGAGAACACGCATGCAAGCCCTCTTGGAGCCCAGACTCAGAATTTTCTTATTATCACTTCTACAATATTCTATTGGCCGAAGTAAATCACAGCCAGCCCAGACTCAAGAGGTAGAGACACTGACTCTCTTGACTCAGACTGTGAAGGCTGTGGATACTGAGAAGAATAGGAAAACTGGGGCCATGCTGTCCTCAACCTATGGCAACAGGATCTAGGATGTAACTGTGGTTTTGCCCATGTATCTTAATATGGTTGGGATATTTGTCGCCTCCAAATCTCATGTTGAAATGTAATCCCCAGGGTTGGAGGTGGGGCCTGGTGGGAGGTGTTTAGGTCGTGAGAGCGGATCCCTCATGAATGGCTTGGTGCTGTCCCTGTGATAATGAGAGTGAGTTCTCGCTCTGAGTTCACATAAGATCTGGTTGTTTAAAAGCGTGTGGCACACCCTTCCTTCTCTTGCTCCTGCTCTGGCCATGTGAGATGCCTGCTTCCCCTTTGCCTTCTGCCATGATTGGAAGTTTCCTGAGGTCCTTGCCTGAAGTAGATACCAGCACCACGCTTCCTGTACAGCCTGCAGAACCTTGAGCCAATTAAACCTCTTTCCTTTATAAAGTGCCCAGTCTCAGGTATTCCTTTAGAGCAAAGCAAAAGCAAACTAGCACACATCTTTTATATGCAAATGTGTCTCATGCATCTTTGAGCCTCCACCCACCTAGAAGCTGCTCCTAAAACGTTTGTTGATTGATCTGGAAGCAATCAGAAACAATCTCTGCGTCCTGGAGATCGGCTTGAAAAGTGTTTCTTGAATGATGCAGAATGTGTGTCACAGCTAGATATGGCAGCATTTCCGAGAAATAGAGAGGCACGGCAGGGAGAGGCTCAGCTGGCCCGTGCCCAGCCCTGAGAGTGACAGCGTGTTTACAAGAGCTATTAGGGGCTGCTGCTCCTCTGTGCTCACAGGATGATTTACTCCACCAGGACTGCCCGGCTGCTGCTTTTCCTTTCACTGCTGAATTGATGACTGAATCACACATATTCAATTTCAATAACATGATTTCACTTCGAGGCAGGCAGGAAGTTCAAAGCCCACTGTCAGAAGACTCTTCCCCTACGCTGGGTTCTGCAACTCTGGCAAGTTCTACAGACACATTTGTGAGTGAGGGAAAGAAATCTCTCTAAAGCACCCCACAAACAACTCTGACAGCCCCAAGTCCCATAAAAGCAGGGGCTGCATCTGGTTGTCTGGCAGAGAATTCCCTGAGCACAGTGCCTGACACCTACTTTTATGAATACTTCTAGACTGAATGATTCGACCTATCCATCTACCTGGTCAGAAGCTGTCTTAACTCGAGCAGACACAGATCACCAGCAGACTTGGAAACCACTGTGTATAGATAACAGCTAGAAGAACTGGAGAAAAGAGTTGAGTAGGAAGGAGACCAGGACATGATGCTGCCCACAAATATTCAGTGAGTAGTCCTACTCAAGTCTCCTCCCATTTATTGAGTACCCACCATGCACCACACAATACAATCCTTCTAACAAGTCTTCAAAGTCTATTCGATGACTCATATTCTCTGCACGAAGAAACTAAGGCTCCGAGAAGTTCAGTGACTGGCCCAAGAGGACGTAGCCCTAAGTGCCAGGCAAGCATGCTACCCAATGTCTCATCCACAGCACCATACTTCAGAACCCACTCTGCTCCTGTCTCCACTCCCGCTCTGAGACCACCATCCTCTAGAGATCCCTTTTCTGTGAAAAGCCTATATCAATCAGCATACAGTGGCATGGCACAGGTCCTACAGAAATGGCCACTGGAGGATGAGGTCACCAACATTTCCATGGGGTAAGTCCCGTTTAATCCCTGTTGCAAATGCAAAAGAAGCACTAGATAGGGGTGTGTATACATATATTTTTACATGTACATATACATTTAGTGGCCTCAAGAAACTCAATCCATTTGAAAAAATTGGAAACTATGAATAATGCAATAATACTGTCTTATTGATTTAGACAGTAAATATCAAAGGTAGGAAATGATATGATTTGTCACCCAAACTGGAACACTTTTAAGAATAAAGAAAGGCACTGCTCTTGGACAACAGGTGTAAATTCATACTAGCCAAGATGAACCAGGACTTAAGATCACCATAGCTAGATGATCATAAGTCCCAAAGTGAGGGACGCTCAGCTTTCCAGTGCCTTATACAAGCGCTGAATTTTGCACAATGCCACTCCATCCCTCATGGCAACAGCACTGATTGTAGATGTTGTAGAGAAAGAGTAATGATTATTGTTGCTATTTATATTAGTATAGTAACAATCCTTGTAATAATTGCAGCTTCTGTTTATTACACTCTGCAGAAAATGTGCCATGCTATTACAAACATCACCTCATTTGTTTCTCACAGTGATAAGCAGTGGGCATTTTTAGACTCACTTTACAGACAACTAAAACAGGTGCAAAGAGGTTAGGATAAATGACAACCCCAAGGTCACAGAAGTGAGTATTCCAGTGCAGGACAGTCTGATTTTAAAGGATCTCATCTTAATTACAAGCTACAGGTCTTCCCATTATTTCTTTTTATCTACATTCCTCAAGAAACTTATGAAATCTAATATACGCACCCATCTTTTACCATTCACAACTCAACTTCTATCATCTCCAGCAGTTTCCTTCTCTCCATTTTAACATCTGTCTCCCTCTTTAACTTCTGTCCTTTTCCCTTCAGTTACCTCAGGAAATATTTTATCCTCTCTCTAAATATTTCTTTCCCCATCTTCATTGCTGCTGCAAACCTCCAAAGATATTAGTCTTGTCTGATAAGTCTATGAGTCTCTTTATCAGGGCAAACGAAAGCTTAGGTTGCAAAATGAAATTTTAAATGATAAACAGCTTTATCATTCAATAATGACATTGAAAGTACCCAGAAGTCCCCTTTCAGAATCCCCAGAAATCTTCATTTACCTCCTTATCTTTCTTTAATTAAACCAACTTTTCCCTGACGACCAGGAAAATACACACATTTCTCACTCAATTCTATCACCTTTGGGTGTCATTCCTTAATTAGCAAGATAGCCACCTCACTTCCCAGTTTCCATTGCGTGTGCATAGCTTTTCAGTTACAGTCTAGGTTAAAAGGTTATTCTGGGTTGGCTGAGGCACCTGATCAAGATTTATCATGTCGCGTCCACAGAGGAATGTATAGTAGGTTACAAAATGGAGTTGTGGAGCCTAGCTTAATGAAAGAGTGAGACCAGGCCAGGCCAAGAGGCTGGAGCAAGTTGGAAGAAAACAGCTCAAGTCAGAAGTTGAGGACATTGCTATGTGCCAGAGGTGAAAGTGCAGGACAAAATGGAAAGAGGCAAAGGTGAACTTGAGAAGAGACTGACTCCAGTGGAGACAGTGCTGGTTCTAAAAGGAGCAGGCTGGAAAATAGCCCAGGACCGATTATGTTCATTAGTCAATAGGGACAACAGCTGAAAAGTATCAGGCGTAAGCTACGGCAGGGAAAGTTCAGGCTCATTAGGAGGAGAAAACTTGAATGGTAATGATCCTCCTGGCCAACTTTCAAGTTTTAGCAAGGCTGTGAAAATGTTAATGAGGTTGGATAACATTAGACGATCGTAAGTTCACCTGGTCAGGCCCCCGACCCCGTCTTAATGGGCCTCCTCCTTATCAAAGGAACACAGATTGATAAGAAAACCCTATTATTGTTTTAAAGGCTACCAGAAAATTGTCCTCAGAGTTAAAGCCAACTAAGCGGCTTATAGAATAAAGGATCTAAGCCTGAATTTTTCATCAAAGCAATCCTAGGTAGATTTGGCCTTCCAAAGGCTTCTCTTCCCACTCCCTGGAGCCAGATCAAATCAATCCCATTCACCCTGCGCTATGCCTGGCTGATGTGAGCTGTCTTGAGGCTAACCCTACAGAAGTACCAGAACCAGGGGGCTCTCAGGCCCTGGGGCCACACCGCATGCTCAGGACAGGGAAAGGCAAACATTCAGAAGCTGAATTGCATGGTGAGACTACAGGCTGAAAAGCAGGCAAGCAGGCAGCATCCGAGAACAGCACAGGCACACAAGATGAAGGCAAGGGGCAAGATACAGGCCTGGGAGAACCCAGGCACAGGAGAGCAGGGCAAAGCAGGGCAAAGTAGGGTTTGGGGACCAGGAGAGCAAAGGACTACAAATTCAGTTCTGACTCACTGGACATGCCTCATCTTGGGCCATGGCTGTTCCATGCCTGGGAGGGAGAGCAGGGGAGCTACACTGGGGTGCTGAAATTGCATTCAGAATGAAATGGGTCAGCTGCAAAGTATTTTCGATTCTAGAAAACATAAATACATGAAAACGCATATTACAATATTTGGCACAGGTGACCACACCTTTGGGCCACCAGCTTATTTGAACGCAGTGCCATTGCCCAGGCTCCACATCAGTGTGGAAGTTGGATGGACAGGAAGGATTCTCTCCCAATTAGGAAGCCACACTTCTAGGGATGATGGCTTCTGGGTGAGGCTTCCATTCACTGGTTATATGGCAGACGCACCTGACAGCATCAGGACATACCCTGAGAATGACCCTGTTTGGAAGACGCACCTGAATGTGTGTTCACAGTTCTGAGCTAAGAAATCTGGGGGTGACCAACCCGGAGAGTCATTCCTTACCTAACAGGAAGAGCTGAGCCCTCAGACTGTCCTGAGGAACTCTGGCCTTACAGGTGATCAAAGCCTTGTGTCTGGGGTTAAATGAAGGCTGCCAGGTGGAGGTTGTTAAGGGAAGGGTGCTAAGTCAAAACGGTAGATGAACAGCATGCTTTGTGTAAGTGGTTGTGATTCTCCTGCCCAGCCTGCTGCCACCAGACCTCCCTGTAAGTTACCCTCCTGTTAACAAAACCGTACATCTTATGTGTTGGCTCTGGGTCTCTTCTTCAGCCTCTTGGACATAGTGTCACCCCTGTTGAGGTTAAAAGGGGTCTGGCACAACACTAACAAAGTGGCGGTATCAGATAAGAGCACCCCACGGGCTTCCTTAATGAGGTACAGTCCCGCAACACAACACTGGTCCCCCATTCTGGGCAGAGAGGAGGCTCATGTAGCTCAGCCCCTACTGCAGCTACTCCCTCTGGTGGTCACTTCCCAGGCACTGGGCTCTCCTGCTGCTCCCAGGGAAGGCAAGAGCTGGACATTCAGGGAACTGCTCTGGCTTCCAGCAGTCCTGCATTTGGCCAGTTCCCTGCAACCTGGTGCCCAAATAGGTTGGTTTAGGCAGGCATGAGCCCTGCAGGCATCAGGATGCCCACTCAAAGGGATGCAGTGAAACACATCAATGAAAACAGTGCATGGAGCAAAATCAGAGCTGACCAAAAAGAGTTTAAATGGAACAGGTCAAAGAAAAGCAGAATATGCAGTGAAAACATTAACTCAAGTGGGTCTGGCCACCTGAAAATTGGACTATGATACTCAGCACCTTAGGTAAGGATGAAAAACCAAACCAAACACATTATGCTGAATAATGGGGAGAATAAGGTTATCAGATAAACTATAGGACATTGGTTAAGTTTCCATTTTAGATATAGGATGACTAATTTTTTAGTGTGTCCCAAATACCACAAGTCATACTAAACTTATTTGTTGTTTGGTTGAAATTTCAGTTCAACTGGGTGTACTCTATTTTTATTTGCTAAATCTAACATCCCTGCTAGAACTAAGTGGTGTCCATTCCATTCTCAGACTCTTAAGTGCAGCCCTGTACAAGTCCAGCAAAGGTCAGCTGTAAATGAGTAACAGTTAGATGTTTGTATATACAGAACTGTTTTCTTTAAAAAACAAATCACTGCTTTGCAGAGAGGAAGATGAAGAGAAGAAATTGTCTAAATTCAAGAATGACTTATTAAAGAAAACCCCCTGTCCTGGGAGTCTCAGATGACATGGTTTCTCATCCCAGGCTTTGTGACCTGTGCAAGTCACTTCATTTTTACATGAAAGTGTTAGTTTGAGGATGGAACTAGGAAATCACTGGGTTCTGTTAAACCCTAATGTTATGATTCTATCCAATTAGAACTATGTGAATGGGGGAAATGTATTTATGTTCTAGATCCTAGGAAAACAAAATTGGAAGACACCTGTTTCAGCTTGAAAGATGCAGATACTTAATTTTCTGGCAGATACAGAATATATGTGGCCACGTTCTAAGAAATGATGTCATGGGGCTAAGCCAGAAACATGCTCAGAAAGGATGGAGATAAAACCATAAACTCAAGATTGTTATTTGGCCTCAAGATGTAAGGGGTTCCTCCCAAATATTCTGAGGCTAATACGATGGAAGAGAAGCATGCCCCTCCCTAACACAGCCCTATCTAAGACGATATCTCATTCCAAACGCATTGTTGCTGTGAGAATACTTTCCGAAAATAAAACCCAGTGGATCCTAGTGAAGAGAATCTTTTCAGATATGGTAAAGCTCAGTTAATCATGAATGATACTGATAAGGCCTTGTGAAGGTCACTCCAATAGCCGGCAGAAGTCAAGTATATGGATTCGTGGCAATAATGAAGACAAATATCAAGTTTGTCATTACAGCTATTTCTTCTCTACACATAACAAGAATGTTTTCCAAAGGAGACTGATTCAGTCTAAACTTGAAAATCATTTGGGAACTACAAAAGTTGAAAAGCTTACCTTTCTTTTCTAACATAAAAATAAGCAGGAAGGAAAGGGTAAAGACTGAGTTAACTCCAAAATATAATATTACAAATGTTTTGGGTTGGACCTGCCTCAAACAGTCCAATTTATCTCAGCAAAAAACACATTTTTACACTTATAGCAAAAAATAGTTAAACATTCCAAAGTGCACATGCTTATTTTGTTGGGAAAATTATACACATTTGTTTGATTAGCTTTGGTAAATAAAATAACCAAGTCATCACTCAAGACTCAGACGTGGCTGCAAAATTGATTCAATGAAATGTCAAAATAAATCATAGCTTAAAAATGCATGGTATGTAACTTCTAAAAATGAAAACCACATCTATCTCTGTCAGAGTTGTGAAGACTGTGCCTTAAAATTATATCAAAAATGAATGCAGTTTTGAAGGAAAAATATTGATTTAATCGACTCTTCCTGACTAGTGATTCAAATCATGATTTGAATCAATTTGATTTTAATCGAGCCCACCCTATCCAAAAGTCATTTATACGTGCCTTTGGAGTGCAAGATGTTATTTTCAGCAGCCTATTTATCTTCCTAGTTATAGGATACTCAGACTGATATAAAAAGAGTGGTACTGTCTATGTCACATCAACAGGGCAGGGAGCAGAGGCTCCTACAAACTTACCTAGTTGCAAATAATCCCAGTAAGGTCAAACACGCACCAACTACACGTAATAAGGGACTGACCAACAGTCTCAAGGATGCCAGGACCTGAAATCAGGCAGAGTCCTGGGACAGTCAGTGGACTGCAGACAGTCCCAGCAACAGGGAAGAAGAATGCTTCCTGACCTACAGATAACACACAAAAAGCAGGGCACTTGGCCTCAGGCAGGGGCCAAGGCAGCCTCAGGATCCAGAAAGCAGACAGAAAGGCCAAGTCTCTACAAACAGTTCAAGGGCAACTCTTGTCTCTTGCAGAACTCTGAGATGTGGGAGGTGAGGAACAAGGCTGGCCTCAATCACCGAGGCTATAATAGTCAGCAGGTCTCAGTCACAGATGGAGCTGAAAGCCAGAGATCAGGACAAGGCAGATGCTCGGAGAAAGCCAGCTTCTAGAACCAAAGGACTAAGGGGCTGACCCGAAACTGAAAACATGAATTAGGTACTCAGGGCAATCATGCAAGGGTTGATCGGGTGAACTAACTGTAACCTCTGCCTCTGCTGCCTGAGGGTATTATCTACCTCATAAAAAATTGTAAGTGTGTGGCATAAGTCTTGGCATATGGAAAGTGTTCAATGTTAGTTACTGATGATAATGATGATGATAAAAAGGAAGAAATAATAATAAAAAAGCAATCGACTGGGCACGGTGGCTCACACCTATAATCCCAGCACCTTGGGAGGCCAAGGCGGGTGGATCATGAGGTCAAGATCCACTGAGACCATCCTGGCCAACACGGTGAAACCTTGTCTCTACTAAAAAGACAAAAATTAGCTGGGCGTGGTGGCACATGCCTGTAGTTCCAGCTACTTGGGAGACTGAGGCAGGAGAATCACTTGAACCTGGGAGGCAGAGGTTGCAGTGAGCCGAGATCACGCCACTGCACTCCAGCCTGGTGACAGAGCATGACTCCGTCTCAGAAAAAAGAAAAAGAAAAAGAAAAAAAAAGAAATCTGCTACTATTAATAATAATAATAATAATGTAGTCTGCTAGGGTATCCAGCGGTCCAGTTTGCCCAGGATTGGAGGGCTTCCCAGGATATGGGGCATCCAGTGCTATCACTAGAAAGAGCCAGGCAAACTGGAATGCTTGACAATTCTGTCCCTGCCATGCACCCAGCCTGATCGACAGGGCATGGGTTGGGTCAGAACCTGCAGATGGCCTTAAGTGCCTTTAGCTATGGGGATCAGACAAGGGTGGAAGCAGGGAGCCAAGCACCACACCTTCTTGGAGGTATAACTGAGTTTGTTGTATGAGGATCATGGTCTGGCTTTTCCCTTCAAGGCACCTGGTGAAAGGAATGTAGTGAATCGATAATCATTAACGAGCTGTCTGGTCTAATCATTTTCTCCCATTAGTTCCAGTTAATAAGAAAACAGAACAAGGAGGGAGGAGGAGGAGGGTGAGGAAGCAGGATCTGGCCATGTCTGGGTTCACTGAGTTTCAGCTGATCTCAAAGGTTCCATCCTTCACCCAGTTTTAACCTCCAGCCTATGCCCCACTGCATGAGTCTGGCACAAGGCAAGCACTCAATCTATATGCACAGTATCCGAGAAAGCTGAGCGGTGGGGTTGGGATCAGATCTGCAGCCTCCTTGGACGTCTCTTTGTGGAAAGGTGTAGGTGCCCGGCTAGGAATCACTGTGACGAAGCCATGGTTCAGTGGGCAGGCACTGCTGCCCTGTACTAGGCAGCCCGAGGTCCAAGTCCTTCCCTATGTGTGATCTGAGGACAGGGCAGTTACACAACCTTGCACCTGCTCCCGCTCAGGCTGCTGCTGCTGAGTCCTAAAACAGCAAAAGCAAGGAGAAGCCGGAGAAGTGCTGGTGAAAGGCTGGGTGGTTGGTGAGCTGCCGGGGATCCCGCAGTTTCCTCAGGGATTTGGGGGTGGATTTAGGAATATGATATCTAGAGGTTGCTTGTATATAGCCCAGTAGGGGAGAAAGAGCCCTGGA